GAGGCTTCGTGTGCAGAGAGACGGTACATGCGGGTGGGTATGTCATTCGGCTCCGTGGCTCCGGGATTCTGCTGCCTGAAGACGAGGTATATGCTGTCCAGCAGCTCCCACGCGCCATAGCAGTCGCTCGAGTCGGGACCAAGCCAGATAAGCGTTCGAATGGCGCCGCGGTACAGCTGGCCCATGAGGGAGACTTGGGCCGCGCGCTCGTCGAGATTTGACTGATCGATACAGATGCTGTCGATCCAGATGTGACGAACGGGAGGGTCGAGCTCGGAGTTGCTGCTTGCCAGTTGCGAGAGCCTGTGAACGCAGGCGGCGAGATCAGCTCCGAGTGTGACGATTTGGCTGTTTATGAGGACGTCCCGATAGCTGTGCTGGCTCGTCCAGCTGTGACTGAGGGCGTAGTATGGAGGAGCATCGCGGAGCTCCACTGCTTCTAAACTTCCCACTTCATCTGAGTCGGGGTCTGGATTCAGCCGCAGGAGCCGAACTTGATTGGTCTTCAGAGGGCTGTAAAAGCCAGCCTCTTTCGGGCCCTGGTGAGTGCTCATATTCGGTTGTCACTGGAAAGATTTGAATAAAGGCAGCGGAATGTGGCTCCCTTCCATAATTTGTACGAATTTTTACGGAGGATGAACATTGGGATGTAACCCTCGTTGCACCCAGCCTGGCCTGCCTATCCCCCGCCTTCTTGGTGAGGGATCTCACGTCATTCGTGGAACTGGATCAAGTGCGCAGGCTGACAGGGTTGACATGTGGCGGCAACAGCCACAGACGACTACTAGGAAGGGGCTCAGCCCACAATACTCCTCACTACATTTACACATATGTCCTCTTACCGATGAGGCGGAATTCGTGCAAGTGGAATAAATTGGGAGCCATTCTGGTGCATCCATGCTTGTACAGCGCACTTAAGGCTGGCTCAGGGGCACCTCAGGATAGCCATCCGAAAAAATAACCAGAACCCATGAGACAAATGGGGTGGTTACTACTTGGGCTCCTAGTCTGGGTCCTATCACAGTGATCCCGCCGATTCTCGCGAGTCAAGGTGCCATTGCAGCACGCTCGGACGCAGGAAACGTGGGTGTTCATCTAAGCTTCTCATGTCGTACATACGGAGTACATGACGATATGGGCAGGAGTGGGACCCTGTTGCTTGGGACGGCCCGAAGCGAGTGCCTGCGGTTTGACGGACGCCAAACTATAAACGTCTGGTCATCAGAGCCCGACATGAGTCAAGACGACCTCCCCGGCCTGCTATATTTGTCGAGGACTGTACCTCATCCGCGTTCGAAGTTACTTGCGACTCGACATGAAGATGGGGAACTCCAGTCTTGGTATCTGAGCTTGCATTGAGCAAAATCATCTGCTGTGAGCTACCCCGGGTCGAATGGTTCTACTATACAACAAGAGCTACGAGAAGCTCAACACTGCGATTGCTGCGCTAAGAGTTTCATGTGATCATTCTTTCGGCTCATACTTAACATCCACACTGAGTCGGAAAATCCTTCATGGTCATCAATGTCGCTGGCAACAATTGAAGATGTGGTCATGAATCGTAAATTTTACAGGATATCTAATGCGCCGAGTTCTCTACATGGATGGCGGACTTTATCAAACTCTAAGCTCTGACTCTCTCCTGTCCAACCTTGGCGGCAAGCTCCAAGCCCTCAGCGACGTCGTTCGGCTGGGACAGGAAGGGGGAGTGGGAGGCCTTAGAAGAGTAGGTGATAGCCGTAGGGCCGAGAAGAGTGGCCATACCCTGCTGGACGGCGAGGGGGATTGCCTTGTCCTCGTCGCAGAAGAAGAACATGGAGTCAATCTCGTGCCACGGCTCGTAGGTCACAACATCGTCGAAGACCTGGGCAGACTGGTGCTGCAGCTGCTCAATTGCCTTGGCGCGAGTCTCAGGCTCAACATCGTGGTAGAAGATCTCCTCGGGAGTCTGGGCGTAGACGTAGTTGCCCTGTGAAAGTGTGAATTTCGGAATCGCAACATAAGCATTTGCGAAATCATCCAGCTTCATCTTACCTCGAACTTCATCCACGGGAGGAACTGGCCGCCAAGCATCTCTCTGATGCACTTGCCCTTGGGCACAACGAAGGCGGTAAGGTAGACGAAAGTAATGACACCACCCTTCTTGCCCTCCTTGGCGCGCTGCTTGTAGCCAAGACCCTCGACGGCATTGGCGCCGACAAGACCACCGTAGGAGTGCACAACGAGAACGATCTCCTTGCCCTCGTCGGCGAGTCTCTGGAGGACAGCTCTGACGGCGTTGGCATCGTCTGTGAGGCCCTTGGTGGGGGGCTCAGCGCCGACAGAGGGGTACTCAACGGCCTCAACGGGGTAGCCGCGAGACTCGAGGAGTTGCTGAGCAGGCGAGTAGCAGGTCTCCTTGTGCCACGCACCAGGTGCGAGGACGAAAGTGGGCTTGGTGGTAGACATGGTTGGTGGTGTGTGGGTTGTGTTGAAGAGTTAAGCGAGGATGGTGAGCTCGGCAGGGGAATTTCCAGAAAAGTCAAAAGCTTGAATTATTGACTGGCAGAAGGAAGACGCTGCCATGCTATTAAATATGAGTGATATCCGATCATGGGAGCCGGCGCTCAACTCACGTCTGCCCCTCGCCTCACCGCAATCCATCCTTTCCCCTCTCCTGTGTAAAACAGTAACTTTGCGGCCCCGGTGATATCCCTGAAAGACGCGCCTTTAGCACGCCTCTAGCTCCCCGGAAACCCAACCCGGAACTCGGGAAACCCTGGAAAGAGCCCACTAACGTACGGCAACTGCCACATCTCTTGCGAGAGCTACGGAGTTGCGTGCGGGTCGGGCGACTCATGAGCTTCGTTGCGTCGCACTCAATGCGGAGCATTCTTCAGCGGCACTCCCCAACGAGGTCGCATTGTCCAGTAATGGGCCGAATTCAGATTGATAGGGGTCTTGTCAAGAGGTGCGTGCGCACGTCAAGAGTGGACTTCAAGGATACTGTTCCCGGACGACTATGCTGGCGACTTTTCTCTTCAGGTATCCTTGACTGGGGTCACTTCCGATGATTCCCTTGCCAAGTTGATTTCTGCACCGATTTCTGACAACAGCGTCGTAGTAGGCGACCCTTGTGTCATTTTGCAGGCTTTGTTTGGAATGTTTGACCCTCAGCCCACGTGTAAAACGAGAGGGTCTTCGGAAGCAGGGTACTAGTATTGATGGAGGGGTTGCTCGACGATCAATGACCTGGGTCGGTCTTTGTTGGGGTGACGTTGGGCAAAAGCGCTGTTCAATCCACCACTCCCCGAAAGCTGACATCGCCGCTGCCTGCTGCCTAGGTCGCCTGTACATGATGCCTTTTCACGAACTTACCCAGCCAGCTCACGTTGCGCTACCCGCTCTCGCAAAATCTGGGACGTTGGGAGCATTATTTCTGATAGGGGCCGTATCATCGGTCCATCGGAACACATTCATGAGGGGGAGAGTACTCGGCTAGACAGCGAATGCCTTCAGGCTGCTGATACGTCGGAAACAACCTGCGCGCATCATCGGTCGTCATCAAGAAAGACAAAGAATCGATCCGCCGCGGAGAATGTTACTGCTGGTTTACTTGTAGATAGTGAGGATGGTTTTTAACGTCATGAGCAAGGTCCAGAAGTGGTCAGCATGGTCCGCCTCCCGTGTTGAAGAGGGCTGGCTGGGTTTTGCTGTCTTCATGCGGTCTTGATCCCAAATGGTTCATGCGGCTGTAACAAGAACGCATAGCTGAGCAGGTCTGTTGAAGGCTGACACCTTCGAAGCGTCCGCATCCGGTTCGCCCTACTGCGATTAAGTGGCACGGGTGCTGACGAGACCATTTGGGAAGAAATAGGGCTGAGTGTGATGCAGGCCATCCTCAAAATGGTTAGATATTACCCGACGAACTGGTCATTCTCGAGAGGATTCTCGTAGATAATGACCAATAAACTTACTCCGCAAGGCGGAGTGAGACTGTTCCCTTTCCTGCTTGGCAAGGAGGCGGGCGGGCGGAGACGTCAAGTCGCCGTAGATCTTGCTTTACACAGTAGTTCTAGTCTGGCACACACACGACCTTCATTGGCTTAACGTCTAAGCCGCGAAACCAAGTTTGCTGACCACATGCGAACACCTTCACAGAGACCTCAAGCATCTGTACTATTTGAGGAACATACCAGCATTTACTGAGCACCATAAGCGCCAAACTAATGCTCGAGGCTTATGGGACATGATGCAGATGAACTGAAGCACGTCTAGACTCAAATATGGGTCACGAATGTAGAACAACAATGGAGTTGTTTACAATGAGCAAAGAAGCACAGGCCCTGACTCATTCATCTGCCTCAGATTCGAGAGTGAGGCCGCAAGTCTTGAAGTCCTGAGACGGTCAATGATATCCATGACTAAGGCAGATCTAGAAGAGACAACGATGTTCTACGAGAGGCCACGTCGAAGTAAGTCGTCGCATCTTGACCAAGAATAAGCTGGAGGTTCTATCCGCGTGAGGGAGTAAGTGAGTAAGAGTTTAGAGTCATTGCCGACTTCGTCGACTTGTTGAGAGGACTTCGTTTCATAGATACTCTCCAAGACGGAAACATCTTACTTAACGATAAAAATCTAGTTTAATATTGTACTTACCTATGAGAGTTCTTCATTTTACCAATCTGTTGGGAACGGTGTGTTTCGATATGAACACAATCATGAGTACATATGCACGATCTTGTGAGGAAAGCCGCAGCCAAGCCTGACTGTCTCACTGTGTCACAGATCAAGGCGCTTCCGTCCAACGATTGGCTCCAACAAGCGGCGTCAGCCTTCGATCTAGAATGAGCGAATTGGACTATGCCACATCCCGTCATGCGTCATGCTGATTCTTGGATCCATTGGGCTAGCGCCGCATACCGATTTCAGTTGAGTTCCAGGGTAAGCGGACATCGGTGAGACGACCCAGGCAGCCTCGTTTCTGCCTGAAGCTTCACGCGGCTTCATAAAGTACCTTGCCTCGCGAAATATTGCGAAAGACTCTTAAAGCCAAGGCTGACCCCAATTTGTTTCCCTCATCAGACTTTTACAGCTCAATTACGTCGTGAAACCGATCATGAGTGAACTCTTTAGGCTCACCAAAGCCTCACTTCTTACCAGCGCTACTGGCGCCACCGATGCAACGTCTCAAAAATTATACCAAGGACTCAACGACTTCTTGGAACGTACTGCACCAGGATTCAAATTCTTTACAACCTGGCTTAAACTCGACATCACCACAATCATCCTCCTGATAACCCTGGGAGGAGAATTGCCAAGGGCTTTGACGGGCATTCAAAAGCTGGGAACTCAGATCTACTGGTGGATTACCCGCTTCTTCACTGCTTCCATCTCGATCGGGAGTAACGACAAACTCAACAGAGAGGTTCTCAACTGGCTAGGGGCACACGTTCTCACCCGGCAAGGCACTCGTGTTCTAACTGCCCGAACCGAAGTGATCCAGAATGAGGCGTGGTATTATCGGAAGCCTATCGAGCGAGACGACCTCCATCACGAAAAGAGGGTACCAGTGCAATATTTGCCAACCTTTGGTACCACCTGGTTTATTTATGAGGGAGGGTTCTTCATGGTCCGAAGAGTGTCTAACGTACGCGTCGGCTCTGCGTACACCGGTGTTCCGGACGAATACTCTGCCGCCCCGGAGGGCGATGAGCCGCTCGTCGTGATGCGCTTGGGGCGCGCTGTCCAACCCGTCAAAGACTTCCTCAACAACTGTCGGCTCTTTGCGGACAAGCAGCGTGAAGCATTCATCACGGTGAGAGCCACAAAAAATCAGTATAATCAAGAGAGTTGGGACACCACTATCCTCCGACCGATACGGCCACTAGAAACTGTGCACTTTGACGAGAAGACGAAGACAGAGCTTGTCAATGACATCGAAACGTATCTCAACCAAAAAACCAGGAAGTTCTACACGGAAAGAGGGATACCGTACCGGAGAGGCTATCTCTTCTATGGCCCACCCGGTACAGGCAAGACGTCTCTTTCTCTTGCGCTAGCAAGCTACTTCAACCTCGAGCTCTATCTACTCCATATCCCTAGCATCAGAGATGATAACGACTTGGAGAACCTATTCACCGCGCTGCCGCCGAAATGCATCGTCTTGCTGGAGGACATCGACGCGATTGGAATTCAGCATCGCAAGAAGTTCGAGCCGGATGATTCCTCATCGGAAGATAGCGACAGCAGCGCTAGTAGCGCAAGGTCTTTCGGGCGATGCCGTTGTACTTTGTCAGGTCTTCTGAACGTCTTGGATGGAGTCGCATCCCAAGAAGGTCGCATCGTCTTGATGACGTCCAATGTGGCTCACAAACTTGATAGAGCGCTCGTAAGACCAGGTCGTATCGATAGAATGATATTTCTGGGGAATATTTCAAAGGGAAGCGCCAAGGGCATGTTTGAGCGCATGTATCGACCGCACCTGTCAACTGAGACTCTTCTAATCGATAAAGATGACGAGGCTCTGAAGAAGCAAGCCTCAGAATTCGACGAATTGGCAGAAGGATTCAGTTCTCAAGTCCCTGACGACATATTCACCCCGGCACAGTTGCAGGGATTCTTGCTCAACCACCGGAATGCACCGGAACAGGCCGTCAAGAGCATTGCTGCATGGGTTGTTGAAGAGAAAGCCGCGATGGATGAAGCGCAGCGACGGAAGAAAGCGGCAAGCGAGAGGAAGGCGAGGAAGAAGAAAGCCCTCAAGATGAAGGCGCTTAAGGCACTGGCTTCGGAGTCCGACAGTGAAGGAGCCAATGAGAAAGCTGACGCAAAGGAAATTAAGAAGGCCAAAGGAGCCGTGGGAACGAAGACCAAAGCCGCTAGCGATCAACCCCGGAGTCTTGCAGCCGACGGGATAGTGCAAGAGGAGGTAACTGAGGATGCAGAGTCGCGAGTTGAAGGCAAAGAGCCAGCTGAATGACTGATGATAGAAGTAAGGTAGACATGAAGTTAGCGAGCGGCATCTAGCATAGCATAGCATCGGAGTTACGGCAACTTCAACTTCTGGGCAGAGGCTGTATTTGAGTGGGAATTGCTATGGTCATCAGTAATCGCCAGAGTAAATACGAGCAAGGCAACAGCTTACTTGTTGACGTAATAGGCCTAGTGCTGGTGATGCCAAGAGGATTTCGATCGAAGGCGGCTAGCCGATGCGGCACAGCAGGGGTAAACAACGCCCGACTCGAATGTAAGCGATGTATGGAACTCCGCGAGAATATTTCGAAATTCACTTTCTTCCTTTCATGCACAAAACTTCGATTCTTTTCGTCCAGAGATGTCCTCACTGACGTCGTTGTCTTCATAAGTCGGGCTACGTCGTACGAGGCGGGGGAACGTCAAATACCCAACCAGCCCACAGGGAAATTGATGTTGTTCTCCGTGACTTTGTACGCGCTGTTCTGAGTCACTTACCTACACTCGTTAACCATTTGTTTGGCCTCGATCACTGCGTGAAAGCGTCAACTTGAGCTCACCAAATCAATACTCTTTATTCGCAATTGCATCATGCCATCTCCACTCGTTTCAACCCTCTCAGGGGCTCTCCTGCTACTGGGCCACTTCCCCAATGTCGTCGCGGAACTTGATATCAGCAGCTCAGACAGCATCAAGGAGTCATCACGGTCTCTTGCTAAGGACCTTATGACATTCTACAAAGGCGACGAGCCTGGACAGACTCCGGGTATACTTCCGTGGTCGTCCGAGGATATCAACAAATACTGGTGGTACTTGAGTAGCAGCTTCTTCGCCACCTATCTCGACTACTGGCATTTGACAGGAGACGACAGCTACGCGGCTACAGTCAGCAAAGCACTACAGTTCCAGGTTGGACCCGAAAACGATTACATGCCTCCCAATCAGACAGCTACCCTTGGAAATGAGGATCAGTGTTTCTGGGGCACGGCTGCTCTTATGGCTGCCGAGTATGGGTTCCCCGAGGTGGATGGAAAAGCGAAGTGGATCGACCTTGCGAAGAATGTGTGGACGACTCAAGCATCGCCTGATCGCTATGATGAGACCTGCAATGGTGGCCTTCGCTGGCAGATTCCTTTTTCCAATAATGGATATGAATGGAAGCATAGTGAGTTACGGTGCTTCTGTGATCAGACTGAGTGCAGTCAAAGCTAATCTTACATAGCGGCTTCCAATGCGTGTTTCTTCAATTTAGGAGCCCGGCTTGCTCGGTTCACTGGCAACACAACTTACTCGGACTACTCTGACAAGAGATGGGACTGGCTCACTGGAGTTGGTTTCGTTGACACTAGTAACTGGAAGGTGTACGACGGGGCACTTGCAGAGAGCAACTGTACCCAAATCGGGAAGGCTCAATGGTCTTATACACCAGCCATGCTCATTCAGGGCGCAGCCTTCATGTATAACAACGTAGGTCTTCCGAGCCGAGCATCAGTCTCGAGACTCAGAGAATCATATGACTAATATCGGTGTAGACAAACGGCTCCGAAATCTGGCGTGACCGTGCCGTGGGACTCTCTGACGCTCTGTTGAAAGACTTTTTCCCTGAAGGCGTCATTTTCGAATCGGCTTGCGAGCCAGCTGAGGGTCGCTGTCCCACCGACGCTCTTTTCTACAAAGGATACGTGCACCGGTGGCTCTCTTCGGCCACTCAACTCGCCCCTTTCTTGGCAGACACATGGCTTCCGGTCCTGAAAACTTCCGCTGAAGCTGCGGTCAAGCAGTGTGAGCCCGGAAACTCGGGGATCAACAATCGCTGCGGCTTCTATTGGACCAGTGGCAAATTTGTCGACCCTATGACAGCCGATAACACTACGGGTATTGGTGAAGGGTTGAGCGTTCTGGCTGCAGTCTCCAATCTGCTCATCAAGGATGCCAAGGCACCGATTGTTGACGCTGCTAGAAGTGGCGGAAGCTCTGGCAACTCTCCTAGCGGCACGACCGGGGGGTCTTCGCCGACTTCGACTACCTCGACGACGGCTACGCCAGGATCAGGAGCTGGGCAACTTGGAATGGATTTCAAAGTTTCTTTCCTCCTCCCATCATTCATGCTTCTGGCTTGGCATCTCTGATTTCAGGTGTCGGACTCAGGGCTCAAAACACATGCATCTATCCTCAGATGAAGCTTAGACAAAATCAACGTCAGAATAGTGACATGATAGACGAGCGAAGGCGTAGGATTCGAACAGAAGTTGAAGAAGCAGGTTGCAGAGATTACGATAGCAAAATACTGGTTTGCCACTCATACATAGTAGAATACGGCCCCATTTAGCCCCTGCGCCCAACCCAGTCAGTTCCGTGACATTATGCATCATTGCGTCGTAAGCGTCGTAAGTGTAGCCCAAACCCCGCCTATCTATGAGACCTCCTGCCTTGACCGGCAAACCCCAAATATTCTTGAGTGTCTTGCAGTATAATACCAGATTCTTCCTCGTTATCCATGAGATACCTCGGCATCGTCGCCGACCCCATTCCGATTAAAGTGTTGTGTATATCCTTGGGATTGATTGTGTCTTTTGAGTAGTGACCTTGAGTAGGGTAGTCAAAGGGGAGGACCTGGTCGGTGTCCATGGTGTAAGAGTGGTAGTCGGATGGCACAGTTGATACAACGTCAAAAACGGGCTCAAAGGCTTCAAAGCCTGAGGCGTCGAGGCTGTCAAAGTCGTCCACTGTGCCGGAGTGGGAGTAAGCTTGGTAGTCTGCTGGGATCTGCATGCCCGCGTAGTTAGCCTCGACGGGCCGACTCTTCGATCGGGTCTTCCGTGAGTCGTGTGATGAGGAGGTGACGCCAGATGTGGTGATGTGTTGTGTAGACTCTGTGGCCAGAGACATGTTGTCCATGCCCCAGTTCTGGTCTTGGTAGCCAGAGTTGTGATAAGTATGCGAGCTGTATCCGTGGCCATTGCCAATGGTCCGGCTGTATCCACCGGAGCTCGCATAGGGGTATGCGCTCGAGGCGTCTGTTGATGATGCACTCGGGCTGGATCCGGAGAGTCTTCGGTACTCGCGAGATCTCTCTGAGTCCGCATCGCTCCCGTCAGAGTCGTAGTGCGTGGCGTACCCCCTTTCCCATCTATCCACAGCCTTTTCCATCGCATCAAACATGAGCTGTGTAGGCAAAAGACAGGGAGAGTAGGCGTCGTGGTCTGTGCCGTTCGATTAGCTTACCATGTCAACTACTTGCAAGTGCACTTGAGTCAACTTACAAATCTCCACTTTCTTCGCCCAATCCTCCTGGCCGGGGTAGAGCTTCATCAGAAGCTTGTGGCGATACTTGTAGTCGAGCGATTGCCCACTTGCCCGCACCGAAATGTTCTCCAGAACACGTTGTTGGTCCTCCGAGAGCAGAGGGGGTTCGTGAGGTGACCACACCTTGGTGCAGCTGCGCGAGTGTGATGACTTGGATTCCGCGGGCTTTGAGCCGAATCGGGCTCCACAGTGATGGCACTGCTTGTCACTTCTCAGATGAACTCGCTTGATGTGCTCGCTGGGTTGGGTAAGTCAGTACGCCATGCCTGCATGACTTGGACAGGGGTCGTGAACTCACATTAATTTACCGATCCCACCCTTGATGTTTCCATCAGTACAGGAGTTTCGGACATGAGTGAATGCTGCCGGGTTTTTGATAAAAAGAGGGCAGGCCAAGTTGACGCTCTTCTCATCAACGTTGTCCTTGGATTGGTGACGGTGCAGGGGTAGCCCCATCTCCCTCCTGAGCTCCGTCATGAGGAAGTCCTTCATGCTAGACCAGCCCATTGGTGACTGGGGAGTAGGTTGTTGGATGACATCGACAGGGACATTGGTGCTAAGTTTAGGTCGCTTGACCTCCAGGACCTGGCTAGACTTGCCGTGAGTGACAGACTCACGGCTTCGCTGCCGGACTCGCTTGCTGTTCTCGCCCATGATTGCTAGACGGCCAAAAGTGTGGTTTTCTTGGCTCCTGAAACGCTGCGAGGTTCTCTGTAACCTCTTCTCCTATCTGGTAAATGCGCTGAACACGATGTTCAGTGACCTTGGCCTCGGTTTTGAATCCTTGCTCGGAGAGCTTGATGAGGTTTGCCGGAAATGTGGCTTGCTGTTCCCGAACCCACGCTTCTGTGAGTCTGTTGCTTGGTCCAATGTACTTTGGGTCGCTGCTAACAACCGAGCCGAGTGAATATGAAGGCTGTTGCTGCCGAGTAAAATGACCCTGCGATCTTGTAGATCTACCCTCGATCGAATCGGCAAAGTTAGTTCAAAACTCTCAATGATTATAGCGTAGTTCCATGGCCAAGGATATGGTCCGGCTTACACCCGATTGGGGATAACTCACCTCTTTGGCGTGTTGTTGAGCACCATTCGGTTCAAGTCAGATAGACATAGAGAGCAGCCATCAACCCGGAACTACACACAAACGCGCAAATACCGGATTCTAGATGATGGGAAAAGACAGCAAAGAGTCGTGAACAACTTGAGAACACTCTTGAAGGTGAATTCAGAATGAGAGAGGAAGAGGGAGTCGATCCATGGCTCAACGGGGCGGCTTACGACTAAGAAGCAATCTTCGATCGCAATTGCGATCAGGGCATCCCGGCCCCGTCCGCCACCGCCAACAAGTGCCGTTGGTCGCAATTGAGAATGTGAAAGGGGTCGGAAATAAAGCAAACATGTCTCTTGAAGCCATGGATTGATTTCCAATCGTTTTGAGGCGATTTGGGTGGGTTGTGGTCGTTCGACATGGCTTCACGGGTGGTCTGGGACGGGATTTTGGCATCGGATCTCACTACGTGGGAAGATTGAACCCAGCAACGATGTTCAACTCAGCGTTTTTCAGATGCAAAGACTGTTCAATATTGTTTCTGAATAGTCTCTTTGTGATTGGTCGTAAAAGAACGAGTATTGATTTGCTCTGGCAACTTGCGCACTCGCTTGGCGTCGAAGGGGAGGTCTGGGAGCCAACCGTCCGCGCTTGCATCAAAGAAACCCACGACTACATGTACCCGAACAACACGCAAAAGGATTTCGATCTTTTCTACCACGAATTTGGAAACTCTGAAACTAGTGCCATTACTTCAAATCGAGCCACAATGAGCCCTAGATCACCGTCCAGGGTCGTTTAACTGGTGATCCTATGGACGTGCCCTCGGAGAATTAGCTCAATAGCGCTAGACTCATCCAGGGACCAGGAGTCTGGAATGCTTCTACGGATATTCTAGTACGTGAAAAGGCCAGCGTTGCATCGGCAAGCTTCAAGAGAAGGATGATAGACTTCTTCACCGCCTGATTTAAGGTTTTTTACGGGAGTTCTCAATGGACGAACCCTCTCTATGTGGAACAGCCGATGGATTCCTGTTCCGAGCCTACGGTCTCGTGACAAGGGGTTCATGCGGGCGATCTTGGATCAGGGTTGACGACTTGGCCATCACGAAGGGGTGATCGCAAAGTCGCAAAGTCGCAAAGGAGCAGGAGCAGTTGCACTGATTCTGGAGATGTGAGAGAGCCCCCAAACCCGGGGTTTCGGCAGAGTAGCGGTCAGAAACTATATTCCCCTGGCGGAAACGGCCGTGTGAAGGGCGCTCCTGTGCAGGCCTACTACTAGTGGCCAAGCGGACTGGATCTCTGCTGTTCCGGCCGTCGCCATTTTGCTGCTCCGGATGCTTCGACGCGGGGTGGTGTTGCCAACGACGGGTAAAAACATCTGCCCTGCCCTCCGTCTCTCTGCCACATAAATTACATAAACCAACCACTCGTTTCGATTGTTTCGACATGGATGCCCAGTAGGATGATTGCCACACCCTTGCTTGGATCCGATCCACCAAAGGCCGATTTGCTCCGTGTCCCTGGATCTGTGCTCCGCTGGTCCCATACCCATCGATTCCGAGTCGCTGGGTCGAGGTAGGACAAGACGCCTCGCTATTGGAAGAGGCGCAGCAACCTGCGACGCTGCCCCTGATTCCGATGGGGACTTTGAAGCGGTGTGAGTACGCTTGAAGCAGTCTACCCATAATCGCGGTACCAACAACCAGGTTTGCCAACGACGAGACTGGCATCCCGGATCCTTCAAACCCCAGTCTTCAGTCCGCGGCGCAGTCTTGCTCGTAATTCGCGCTGGGAGTCGTTACTTGTCAGTTACAAAGACCTTCCTGAAAGGTGGCCAACTTACCTTGACGAGACGAGCAATTGCAAGATCGGATGCAGGCTGACGTAGGTCGCGCAAGATCATGCAGACGCAATCTCTTGAACCAACAAACTGTGGATGATTGCAAGATTCTGGCGCGAATCCGTATCGCCAAAAGAAGACGCCGCAATATGGACCAGAAGCGGTGCATGGAACCCAACCTCCACCCTGTCCTCGATGCATTCGTCTGGTCACCTGCTCTTCCTTCGATGGGGTCGATCCTGATCGGCCCTGGCGCTCTCATGTCCATGGAGTGGTGTTGTCGGAAGGTGGCCGAGAGGCTGATGATGGCTCGCTGGCTACGACCCATCAGGCCATCGCCCTTGGTCGGCAGCGAGCGCCGATACCTTGAGAAGCGTTTTTGCGATGCGTCAAGGAGGCGAAGCTTCAATCAATCATCTTTTGAACTGAAAGCACACCGTGGTCGACGGACGCCGGCTTCTTAATCTGTTCGGCTGGCCATTGAAGCCATTGGGCATACTGAGAGGGTAAAGAAATAAACAGCCCTTTCATGAGATGCTCCGACCAGCCTTGCATGAACCAGAAATGTTCGAGGGTTTGGAACAGGACATTGAAGTGCCCCAGCAATATCAGGGATAGCGCTTCCTTTTGCTGGATGCGAATTACAAAGTCGTCGCTCATGATATACAGCCAGCGCATAACGACCTCAAATCGGCCCTGGACGTGCGCCTCCGGCTCCGCTTCGGTGCCAAATGTTTGCTTGAAGCAGTCCTTGAGCAGGTCAAGTGAGATCGTGTACATTTGGCGCTCGGGCTCAGGCGTGGTGGCCACCAGATCGGCGAGCTCTTCGAATCGTTGTTCCCAAGAAACCATCTTGTGCACGGGGTCGGGCAATGGCGGACAGTGAGTCCAGGTATGTTCGAATGATATGTTTCCGTCATCCCAGCCCGCGATGATGGCCTGTATGCCCATCTTCTGGACGACTATACGGACTCCTCGGAGTAAGCCCCACCAAGGAACCTCGCCGTCCGCTGCGACGACTAGGAGATGCCCTGGGTTTGGCTTCTTCGCAAACGTGTAGAGACAGACGAGCACCGTGGTATGGTAAAGCGCTTGACAGTTGTCTAGATTGATATTCGGCATAAGGTTCGTGATCGCCGGCAGAGCACTTGTGGAGTGCCGCTCTGCGAGGGTCTCGTAGCGTAGGGCCTCTGATGGCCGGAGTCTCGCGAGGTGCTGTGCTGATATCGCCAGGACCATGTGGAAGACGTATTGATGTTGGAAGCCCAGTCGGGGCACATGTTCTCGCCATACACGTGCTTCACCAAGGGTAATTGCTGTATGGCACATGTAGTGATGCAGGAGTTCGAGATCGTCCCGGTTTAACACCGCGGGGGCGATGGAGGAGAAGGAGGGCTCGGCCGACGTTGTAGGGGCCGGTGTCCGCGGTGTCTTGGTCGCATCGGATTCGGAGGCACTCGGTGTCGGTAACTTCCGGACGGCGTCCCAGTCCTTTCGAGGACGCCCCCGTTTTCGCGGTGCCGGTGGCGACAGGTCGGTAGGAGATTGAGTGAGTAGGTTCGTGGGCGGAGGAACGAAGTCGCAGTGCATCGAGAATCTCAGACAGTTGCCACATTCAGGCTTGGTCTCGTCGCACTGGCAGATCCATAACGGTCAGCCTTGATTACTTTTCAAAGCCCAATTGCGCCGAATGCGTGGTTGGACAGCGATTCAGCTTCGCGAGGAAGCACGGAGAGACGCGCCTTGACTTTTCTCCTTTTGCAGTTGTGGCATCCATTGCGAGACTTTTTATGAGATCTTCTCTTGTTCTTGCGACACGTCCCGCAACAGCAACCACTGCCGCTCGTGTGCTTGTCCGACGCCGTGCATACTGATGCTGTCGGGCCGGTCTCGTTCTGGCCCATGTTCATGGTTCGCGATCGTGGGGCGGCGCTCGACGAGCGTGGATTCGGTTAGGCTGGGTAGCGGCTAGGAAAGGTATGGGATGGTAGCTCGAGTGGGACGGCTTCGTCCATTCCTACGAGCGCATTCCGCATATGACGTCGCTTGGCATCAGTTTCGGGTAGCTGAGCGTCAGCATTGGATTAGTCGACATATAATCCAGCGCCTCAAAGAGCTTGAAGAATTGCAGAATGTCGACTGGGCATGCTCGAAAGCTGTTCGGCAGCCTCCCCGCACGTGGGTCCACGGCCTCGCTTTCGGGGTCTCGGATGATTTATCGTATTTGATCCGAGAATTGATCCGGTGTGATTGGCCGAGCAGCACTCACTCTCCCAATGAGATGAATCCACTGTTCTTCAAGATCTCATCAATTGAACCTTTCTTATTTCAACTTACTGCAGGTTATTGTTCGGCTTAGAGTGTGAGGGTTATATGAACATATCCAACGTTATTATCTCAAACGCTCTTGAACTTCTCCTTTCGGACACAGAAGCAAACATCGCCGTCCCACTCAACGCCCGAGCCACCATGCCTAGCTTCAACCCTTCATGGACCTCCTAAATCCCGCCACAGAATGAACCTCATGTACGACTTTCCGTCAAATCGACGCGGAATAGGTAAAGTGTCTTGCCATAAGTTCTAGCTCAAACATTCCTCTAGCGTTCTGTATTGCGCATAATCATCGTAGACCCCACCTTCTCTCTGCGTTTTACTCGGAGCGTTTTTGTAATTAAGTAAGGCAGGTAAAACTAACAAACTAATGCTCTATTCAATATGAAACAACTTCCATGTCAAAACTGGGGTATCAGCCTCTATCTTAGTATGTATCAAATGGGTATCTCTAAGTCATGCTCGCGTTCTACATCCAGGTCTTCGTATTAACGACCCCTCTCAAGTCTAACTCGTACTCTGCATTTGCCTCTCTTCGGAAACTCCTAATGCTCATCGGCGTCATTGGCGTTCTAGGAGCCTGCAACGTGGCGCTATCTCTCCACGGAGGCTGGTAACTAAGCGGTTGTAATGGCGCTGGTGGCAGTGGCTTCATCCTCGGATCGAGATGCTCCGAAATGTGAACCTTGATCATGAATGAGTCCTCTGAAGGCGAGGGCTCGGGGGATGGTACCGATCGGTGTCGTGATGTGATGACGGGAGCTGGAGCGACAGGCTTCTTTTCTCCGAATGAAAGCCGGCTGCTTGCCCTGTTCAAAGTTTCCTTGACTTCAACCGTCGGGCGTGTGCCTCGAATAGTCGTGAGAAGTCCGGGGATCTTCTTGAGAAGAGGTCGTAATGCAGGAAGACTACCGCACATCAAGGCGCACGAAATCTCGGCCATGCTCCATGTCACCACATCGACGTTATCCCCTGGCTGTGTCAGTCTTCTGCTTAGGATGTAGTTTAGCGCCTGAACTTACATGTGGTGTCATAAGACTCAGCAAATAATACGAGCCAGCGCAATCGCACAATGGAAGTGATGCATGCACTGAAAGAGATGAGTTAGCTGAAAGACTCAAAGTTCCACTGCAGCGTTAGTACTCACAATGATCCAAGACTCAGCATGAAGCCAACCGCAACCTTCTTTTTGAACCCCAATTGGAGCCTGCTGAGCTGCTGGATGGGCATAGCAAAAATGACGATATCCTCAACGATGCTAAGAATTGCGCTTGCCATAGCAACGGCGTTGACATTGACGCATTTCCGCTCGATAGTCCGGTCCCAGATTCCAGCGATGGGGGTGCATTCGAACATGATGACAAAGAGAAAGACCAGTCCATGGCCAACGAGAAATACAAACACCAGTTTGTTGATGATTTGAAACTTGCGATCGGGGAAGACGCGGGCGAAGAGGGCAATAATAGACAGCTTCGCCAGGATGAGGACGACGACGTAAAGCATTTGGACTGCGTAGTAGAGCTATGATCAATCCATTAGTGACATTGAGCTTGGTAGATGCGCGACATAAGTTCGACTTACTTGAAGGATCTTCTGGGCATTCTCCGGGTTCACGTTCCAGTAATGAAGCCCGAAGCCAAGATCGGCGGCTTTGTAAAGTCAGTAACTGAGTTGGAATCATAGCGATGAATATCAAGACATTGAATACTCACTCGCAACTACGCAACCAAGGGTGGTAGCTAGTATAGCCTAGAACAAGTGTCAGTTGCCAAGGGCCAGTAGAGAATGGTTGAAGCATCAATCAACTTACGGCAGTGACGATCGTCATCCAATCGTCAAGCTCCAAGCGGCTTGCTATGATCCATCTTGAAACCAACCTCAATATCACAATCGGAAAGGTTATCACCGCCAATACTGCAACGACCAACTTGATCTCGGTATCTCGAGATGGGTGGGGGTAAGGACGGCACAGGTCATCTGTCATGTAAGACAATGCTGAAATCTGTCAATAAAACCCAGGCTCGGTGCGTTCGGGTGAGAACTCACAAAGCTGATCTTGCCATGTACACGATGTTTGTACACATCCGGATAATCCATCTAGGAGTGTGACATTGGTGCAAACGCATGAGGCGATGTTATCCAGTCCGCAGCCTGAAGTGAAGAACGCTGTCGTAACACAAGAAACCTATCCTGGGGTGAGATGAAGTTGACTGGAGGCTGAAGGTATCAACACTCACGGCGCATTGAGGGATCTGAGACATAAGCTCCAACGGAGAAGTTGCTGTATTGGTGTTGTCTTGGCCGAGGACGGTACCTGCTACCCAAGGTAGCAGCGCAAGGAACCACCGCACGTGGTTCTTCATGGTTAGGTGAAACGTGGAAGAACCAGAACACTGGGACCAATCGAGGTCTCGTTCGCCTGAAGGATGTTATCCAGCCCGATTATACGTCTCGGGAGGCTCGGGGCATCGCTCCTAAATGCGGCTTTGGGCGTCTCCAGGAAGCACGCATAAGACGGAAGTCGACCCAGAGGAGTGCTTGGCCACGAGATAAGTATGTTGAATCATCGTGCCTCGGACGGACTTGACAGCCCGGATCCAAGATTCGAATGCCCTTGGATATCCGTCAACCGTTGGTCAATGTCTATTCTTGACTAGGCTATCTTGTACGCGAGCCCTGCGAGTCTGTCATCTGCATCTTGGCAGAGAGCCCAGAAATACTACACATGCATGCAAACCGTCTGATATTGATTCGACCCACGCGAGTATTCCTGAGTTGGGGTTACAATAGTCTCCGAACAAGGCAAAACGCTATGAGCCTCGCAGCTCAATTCGGCATGAGCGACCACTATGGTGGGCGCGCTGAATCTAAGTCTGAATCATGAACCCTGGTGCCGGCAACGAGGTCCATTGGTTCGTCCGATGTCCGCTGGGTCGGGGTTTCAAGTTGACATGCCGTCTAGTGAGCCCGTGCAACCTTTCCGGCCATCTCTCTGGGTCACTGAGAAACGGGTGGGCAGATCATATTGCTTGATCAATATAAAGAAACTCAAATATCGTGGTGGTTTCTGGCGGCTTGCTGCAAGCAGCACTCTATCGACCTATCCACTCTCGCGCAAGCGGCCCTGCCTTTGCCTCATGCACCCGCACGAGTTGACAAACACCCCGCCCGCTATCACATTTCGGCTCCATGTGGCTAACCACGTGTAGAGCGCGTGCGATTCAAGTCTGCGCGCGGATGCCCTCACATGGGGTTGGTTGTGGAGCAATTGAGTTGAATCACGTCAAAGTCCCCACGTGATAGTCGCAAACGCGGGCCCGGACTCTGAAGAAGAAGCGATAAAGAATCAGGATGTTGACGTAACCCGGAGGCGGGATGTTGATTGAGCTATCCGCAGCCACACCCGCAAAAATGACAAGTCATATCTTCCTCCTCAAAGTTGAGCTTCTCAAAGGTCATGTGCGATGGTGCGACCTTGCGGAACCACGAGAACGAGGAGCTCGGGTCGGCGTGAATTGGCCCAGTTACGCCAACGCCACAGCCGCGCTTCTTTAACGAGGTGTTCCCTGAGTCAAGCGCCCGCCTCAAGCCACGCCAAGTGCTGCAGATTACCTGGAGTAATCAAGGGGTTCTGGAACCAAGCTTTAGCTCATCATCGTAAGGTGTGATGGAACAGACGGATACCGTTGGTCGGCCTTCCGCGTACTCTGGACTTTTTCGGCCGGGACCTCTACCATGGCATGGCCACATGCCGCACACCGGTGTGACAACGGTTGCTTAGCGTGCTCCAAACCCATGGCAAAGACGTGCTGCCGCATGCCTATTTTGCACTTAGACTTTGAGGCAAGGGCTGGCCCCAGCTGTAGAAAGCCGTTATCTCTCGTGCACTGGCTTGACTTTCCCAATCCTTTGCAATTTAGCACTCAGCTTGCGCCTACCTCTAGGCTTGGCTTGCCTTACCTGGCGCTGCGATCGTGAGAGTTTACTAGCTCAGGCAAGTCATTAACCTTAGCCAATCCGGGGTTGCACAATGTTTGGTCTTGGGAAATGCTCGCTGTTTCTGGTAAAATGAAATCTAGCCCAGACGGAATAATAGTCAATTGACTTATGAAGACAGACTTCAGCCGAGGAATCAAGATATGCTTGCTACCAACAAGATCGTAAACTTTCATCCAGCGCAATTGATTGATCAAATGAAAGAGACAGCGTTGCATAATAATCGTGAGAGGAGAGCCAAGCGAAACCAGTCTTGGCACTGTGCCGCCATGCCGCAGCCCTTCCACGCAGATAGCGTAGTAACGGCATTGAAAGCTGCAGGAAATGAAGATTTGACACTTGCGTAACCCTATCGGTCATATCCGCAATCTGACAGATGATGTGACAAGAAGGCAGGATAGCATTATCTTCATCACCATGGTGTTTATGTGCGTGCCTTTTCCGACATGACCTTGATTTGTTAAATCATCATTGCAATTGACCGGGCTTCCCCCCAGTGATGCACTCCCGTCATGCCGAATCCACTCTATGGACCTCTCCCGCCGGCGGGAAGCATCCAGGTCCTCAGTGCCAGACCAGGCGGTGAATCGAGCGCCCTGGAGGCGGGTTCGGAGGCGGGTTTCCAGGCGGGTTTCGAGTCATTAACTCCCGAGACTCCTCACGACTGCGTCTTTTCTGCACGTGGAACAGGTTCTCATCTACGTAGACGACGAAGATGATTCGTGCAAGTTTTGCAGTGGAACCACGACATTAAGATGCCTCGAATCAGTAGCGATTCGCCGATTGCGCCATGTGCTCATAAAT